AGACTCGTATTACATTGCTCGCACATGTAACATTGTCTACACGCTACTAAAAGATGGGCCGAACAAAGTCAGGAGGGTTAGGAAACACATCAGGAAGCATGACTTGAAAGATCTTCCATCCCTGAGCCATTGACAAAGATACATCAAGGTTTACAAAGACAGCATTGGTGCGTTGGGAGAAGTCAAAGGTGGTGAACTCGAGAAGTGAGTCTCCACCCAACTTGGCCTTCTCGGCATGAACCCAATCCATATCGACTGAAAGCTTACAGTATATCCCTCCCCATTCCTTGTAGAGCGTGTACGTAACGTTTTGGCTGTATCCAGAAGGGCCCGGCTTCTCCTTTTGCTTGCAAACAGTACTATTGTTGTGGAACTCAGTGCTGTCGTCTAGCTCTGCTTGGAATATCTTCGACCAAAGCCATCAAGCAAGCTGACTACATGGGCAACATCAAACTCAAGACATTCGAGTCAATTGAAGGCATATCAGTGTCATGTGGATCGTAGATCCCCTTGATGATGCCTTTGGTGAACTCGAAAACAGCATTGTTGTGACAATCAACCCAAAAGCAAAGTCGAAAAGAGAAGTGAATTCGAAGACTGGAGAATACAACCAAGTAGCTACAGTATTTATACCCAAATCCAGTCTGAGTCATATCTACAACTAATGAGTCATAAGACTATGTACCGCATGGAACGCTGGTCATGGGTTGTAGTAGAACCTTCCGGAGCATATGTCGCGCAGCCTCGAATCGATAGAGATAACCCCTAGCCCGGACCGTCTGATGCCGTGATCCGTGATAAGATAAGTCGTGCCAAGATAAGATAAGATCGTTGATGATAAGATGAAAAAGTGGCCGAACTATGACATTACCCCCTCTCTAGGGTCGATGTCCTCATCGACCAGGCCAATGGGTAAGAAGACGTTCTCGTAAGGGTCGAAGAGCTGTCGTTGGGGGTATGGAAGGCGCTCGTCCCTGGGCTGGTAGCGATGAATGAGATAGTCCCAGTGTCCAGCTTCGAGCGTTGGCAGGAGGCGAATGCGTGTGTCTGGATTTGATTGTTTCCTCTGCCAGTCTCTCAGGACGTCCTTTGCGTGGGTAAGGTGACGTGATGGTTCCCAGGTGTTCTCGCTGTGCGGCCATCCCTTCCATTTGACCAAGTACTGTTTTCCTCGGCCGACTTTTCGCTCTTTCACGATTTCTTCGACTTCCCACTCCTCTGCTCCTCCGATCATCTTGGCCACGGGTCTCTTCTCTCGGCGATGGGGGGGTGGTTCGTGATAGGGTGTCAACAGTGACTCGTTGAACACCGGGTGTCTTCGGTCCGTGTCCGGCAAATCCAGCTTCCATGCGGCCGCTCCAACCTTCTCCAGTATCTCGTATGGTCCCAATCTCTTGTCGCTCATCTTCTTTGATGGTCTATCCGTCTCGATATTTTCCCCTTCTATGTACACCTTCATCCCAACCTTCAACTCCGGAACTTCTTTTCTTTGTTTATCGTAGTATTTTTCATTTTTTCTTTTGCTTTTTCCAATGCTGCTTTTGCTTCGTCTTGTATTTCTTTGATTCTTTTTACAAATTCCTCCGCCGACTCGTTCCTTGATTCCATCCGCTGCTCCACTCCCTTCCATGGGTGATATCCGTGATTAGCATAGAACGGCGACATTTTGGTAGACGTGTTCATTTTGTCGTTGTATGCGAACTCCGCCATTCCCAGCCACTCCGACCAGTCCGTCTGATGGTAGTTGACGTAAATGCGGAGATAGTGTTCGATCTCCTGATTCATACGCTCCGTCTGCCCATCCGTGATGGGGTGATATGCGGTCCCCGGATTCATTTCCACGCCCAACATCCGATTCGTTTCCTTCATAAAGCCCTTGATGTATCGAGAGTCCCTGTCAGTGATGATTTTGCGGGGGACCCCGTGATAGCGGAAGATTCGGTCCCTGGTTAATCGTGCCACTCCTTCGCTGCTGATGTCAGTACTAATTGGTTCGACATGGATCATTTTGGTGAAGGTGTCACACCACACATGAATTGCGTCATACCCGTTACTGACCGGCAAGGGTCCGATCTGATCCATGGAGATGATTTCCCACGGCGCGTTTGGAACTGCATGCGGGTGCAAACTTCCTGTCCTGGCTCTTCGGGTCTTGGTCCGCTGGCACGCTTCGCACGTCTGGATGTATTTCCGAATTTGGTTTCCCATCCTTGGCCACCAGTAGTTCCTTTCCACCATCTCCTGCGTTCGGTTGATCCCGGCGTGTCCGACCAAAGGGGTGTCGTGGTGTAGTCCGATGATTTTGTCCCGCAACTCCTCGTTCCTTGGTACGTAGAGCTTCCCATGGTACGTGATAAGCCCCTCTTCCTTCTTCCATCCGGCGAGTGACTTCTCTAAGGCCGTCTTGACGCTTCCATCAATTGATCGAATGGCCTTGATTTCGTCGATTAGCTGCTGATCCTGTCCCTCGAATGTGACTTCTTGTGATCGGAAGAACTCGGGCTTCAGTAGCGTGACGTCCTTGTTGTCGTTCTTGCCCTGATCGTGATCTGCTCGTCGGGACAGGAGGTCCGCCTTGCGGTTGAGTGCGCCGGGTCGGTGTCGTAAGGTGAAATCGAACTCCGCCAACTCCGTGATCCATCGTGCTTGCCGTCGATTGAGCTTCTGCGGCTTCCGAAAGTACTCGAGATTCTGATGATCGGTGAAGATCTCGAACGTTTCCGTGGCTCCCAGGAGCAACTGCCTCCATTCGTCAAGTGATAACATGATTGCGAGCATTTCCTTGTCGTAGATCTCATAATTTCGCTCGGTTTCGGTCAATGCGTGCGAAATAAATGCGATTGGGCGCCAAATGCCGTCTTGGTTTTGGCTCAAAACTGATCCTGTTGCCCCTTCCGAAGCATCGGCTTCCAGACGATATTGGCCAGTGTCATTTGGCAGTGCTAAGACGGCATCCTCCGCGATTCTCTTCTTTAACCCATCAAACGCCGCATGTTCATCCGGACCCCATGACCATCCTGCCTTCCCTGTCAGCCGCGTCAACGGCTTGGCGACCTCCGCATATCCCCGAACGAAACGTCGATAGAAGTTTGTGAATCCGAGGAAGGCTTGGACTTGTTTGACGCTCTTTGGTTCTGGCCATTCCATCACGCCCTTGATCTTGACAGGGTCCATCCGCATCGAGTTGTGTCCAATGATTACACCCAGGTATTCGATTTCCGTGCGTTCGAACTCGCACTTTTCCGGCTTCAGGTATAATTTGTGCTTTTGGAGCAACTCGAGTACCCGTTTGGTGATTCGTCGATGTTCATCCAGATTTTCTGTGAAGATTAGTATGTCGTCCAGATAAACCACCACATGTCCCTCGTTGATCAGTTCCCGGAGTATGTCGTTCATCATGTTTTGGAAAGTTGCCGGGGAATTTGTGAGACCAAAGAACATAACCAAGGGCTCGTAAAGTCCGCGGTTTGTGCGAAACGCAGCCTTCCACTCATCGCCCTCTTTGATCCGTACGTTGTTGTATCCCCACCGGATGTCTAGCTTGGTGAAGAACTTGGCGCCGCACAGGTTGTGGACCAGTTCGGAAATCAGCGGTAGCGGGTACCGATTTCGGATCGTCATCTCATTCAGCTTCCGGTAATCTTGAACAGGTCGTAGCGAGCCATCCTTCTTTTTGACAAAGAAGAATGCCGATGCCATGGGTGATTTTGATGGCCTGATTCGTCCGCTGGCTAGGTTCTCTTGTAAGAACTCGTCGAGTTTGACCTGCTCGTTTTTCGATAAGGGGTACACCTTGCAGTCCACTGCTTTGGAGCCTGGTTTGAGCTCGATCGCATGATCCCATGCCCGTTGGTCCGGTAGCGAGTCGAATGATTCCTTGGCGAATACTTTGACGAATTCTCGGTATTGATCTGGAATCTTTCCCTCGGTCATTCTCTCCTTCTCCTTTTCCGCTTCTTCTGCGAATTTCTGCGCCGGCGTTTCCTTCAGCCGTAGGTCTACCTCCTTTCCAAAGTCGATCAACAAGATCGATTCTCCCTCTTCCAGATCCGGTGCACCCGCGCCCAGGTCAATTGCATCCATGTCGATCATCGCTTGGTGCTCCTCGTGACCCCTCATTTGACATTGCTCTGGGCATCGGCTGAATCTCATTGTCTGCTCCTGCCAATCCACCTCGGGGTTGTGTTCCGTCAGCCAATCCAGGCCGATGAAGATCCGGGCTTTTCCCAGACACGTCAGAAGGAACGTGCGTGTCTCCACATGAGGGCCGATTCTCATTCTCAAGTCGACGTAGTGTGTGATCCGACCGCTGATGTTCTCGGTGTTGTCGGCGTTACGAGCCACAATGGGTTGCGGAAGCTCTTGGATATCCAGCTTTTCTGCCCGTGCGTAGTCGGTGTCGATGCAGCAGGTACTGCAGCCACTATCGAGCAGCGCCTTGACTCCACGCGTTTTCCCTGAGTCCAGGCCCGTGATCTGGACATATACGTCCATCGAATGCCTCTTTCTTTCGGCTTGGTAACTGCGCAATTCCTGCGCCAATCTGCTGGGCTGGGGGCCCTTCTGTTTCTCGGTCGCCAATTTCCTCTGGATGGCGTCTGGCACCCTGGTGCGTTTGGGTGCTTCTGGAACCTCGATTTTGGCAGATTCCTTGGGCGCTTCCTCCTTTTCCAAGGATCGAGCCTTCGGAGCGATGCTCCCCTTTTCGGTCTTTGTTGACGTGGTTCCTTCTCCACGAGCCATAAATACGTAGGAGTCTAAAAATAATTTATCTGCAGCTTTCTGATCCTTTTTATCTTGTAAGTATTTTCTATTTAAAGCTATCTTTTCCTGGCGTTCTTTTTCCATCTCGGCAACAAGAAAATCGTGAATATTTGTACGTAATGAGTCTGAGATCGTGTATGTAGATGAAATATTGTCCGTATCTTTAATCGAAACAAGTACAGAAAATCGTCCATAGTCCGGACGCTCCACCTCCTTGGCTAGAGGAGTGGAGCGCTTCAAAAACCCTTCTCGCGCAGCTTCTCAGCGATCTCCTTGAGGAACTCGTTGTCCTTGTCCCCGTTCTCGATCTCTTCCAGCATCGTGGCCCGATTGAAGAATGTGCGCTTCTTCCTTGGCTCCGGACAGTTCCGCGCAATGTGCCCAGGCTGTTGACAGTTGTAGCAGATGATATTGCGGCCGCGGGCGTGGGTACGATCGATTTCCATCGGAACCGGTTCGTTGGCAGCGGGTCGGGCCGGAGCGGGTGTGGGCGCCACTGGTGCCGTTTGGGGACGGAACTGGGGAGGTGGTCGTTGTGTGGGGTGCCCATACGACGCTTTGCGCAGCTGGTCACGCAGAGCATTGGCTTCGATGTTGATGCACCAGGCTTTGAACGCTCCATAGGCCTTGGGCAGAGGGACACCGGTGTTGTAGAGACGGCTGGCGATCTCGCTGCTGAGTCCGCGCTCCAGGAACTCGATGAGGATATTATCCTGGTCCCCCTTCTTGTATTCGCCTTTGTCGTCGGTGGTGTCAACCACATTGTAGCCTGCATCCGCGGCCAACATCTCAAAGTCGGAGATGTAGTCCGCGAAGGACCGTTTGTTTTGACGCAGGGCCATAAGCCGAGCAGCGGCGACTTGTTCCGCATTGGAGTCCCCGAACGCCCTCTGAAACTCCTCCAGGAAGTTCTTTGATGTGACTCCTGCCTTCAGTCCCTGGAAGCCATCGAAGTTGTGCTGCTTCCAGTTCATCGCCCATCTCGAGGCAGCGCAGCTCGTGCCGTTCTCGTTACGGAGGTAGGAGAGGACAAAGAGGATTTTGGTCTCATCTTGTGAGAACTCCGATCGATAGGCACCGATGTAAGTGGTGCACGCGTCCACAAAGCCCAGGTATTTGGACTTGTCGCCATCGAAGTAGGGGGGGTTGGCGGCGAGGGTGATGCGGTGATGCCCTGACATGGTAGGGGCAGGCGTGTGAGGTGGAGGCGAGGGTGGTTGTTCGGAGGGCAGTTCGTCGAGGTCGGGGATCTCGTCTTCAGGCGGTGGGAGGGCGAGGTAGGGGTCGGAGGGCCCGGGTTGGTTTTGATGCGCCAGATCGGGCGACGATGGTACGATGGGGGGAGGGGATGGACTCCCAGACGACGATGGGAATCGGTACGAAATGGTGGATTCGTGTGCTGTACAAGCACCCGAGGAAAGGTTCTTTTGCTAGCAAAAAGATCCCGGGCCTAGCTCTTCACGTGCCCGATGATCCCGAGGTGCGTTTTCCCGAAGGTCTCCGCAGCACTCCTTGTAGCTACCGTAAGGCTTGGGTCGGGCTCAACGTTACCCGTGGCCTGGTGCTGTTTGCTTGATATGAACCCTTCACTGCGATAGTGGAGGACGACTAGATGATTCGGTAAAAGGGTGAGTGGGGTGATAAGGGTTAAGAGGATATAGCGGGCGTAGCGGTGCAAGATGCAGGGTAAGAGGTATGAGGTAGGAGGGTATGAGGGGAGTCTTCGAATTATGTGACAATCAACCCAAAAGCAAAGTCGAAAAGAGAAGTGAATTCGAAGACTGGAGAATACAACCAAGTAGCTACAGTATTTATACCCAAATCCAGTCTGAGTCATATCTACAACTAATGAGTCATAAGACTATGTACCGCATGGAACGCTGGTCATGGGTTGTAGTAGAACCTTCCGGAGCATATGTCGCGCAGCCTCGAATCGATAGAGATAACCCCTAGCCCGGACCGTCTGATGCCGTGATCCGTGATAAGATAAGTCGTGCCAAGATAAGATAAGATCGTTGATGATAAGATGAAAAAGTGGCCGAACTATGACAATTGTCTCCCCAATCCAGATGCATGCGGTACCAGCTATGCTCAACGGAGATGTTGTGGATGCTGCAGAGATAGGCGTGTGCAGGGATATCAGTCAGCACAATTTCCGGGTGATATGTGGTACTAGATAGATGTGCAATTAGCCAACGTACTCGTACAAAACCGAATAGGCGTACCGTAAGTGAGTCTGGAACTCAGACATCTTGATTGTCTTGGAACCACAGTCAGTCGTTGTTGTGAGGGGGATGCGTGCAGATTACAAATACATATCTCGAGGCTAAACAGTATGACACGCACCTTTGTACCTCTCTACCATGGACAGGTAGAGGTAGGCCACAGCGTCCTTGATCCAGTTACTTGGAACAACCCAAGCTCCTAGTATCTTGCTGGTCGCATCGTTGACAAATGCGTATATGGGGAAACCGATTCTGTACAGCTTATCGTGACCTAGCACAAGTCAGATTATTGCAACGTGGAAGAATTAGAGAGGTGGCACTCACCATTGGCGGCCCACCAGTGATTGATTCCCAGCGGATACTTTGCAGTGCGATAGATCTTCTTTGCAGTCGGGTCCAGTAACTCAAAGCTGTCTGGGTCGTGGAGGTGCATCATGTGCACGGCAAACGCCCTTGGAAGCGAAGTCAGAGTGAGAAATGAGAGAGCGTTACGATGCGTACTTCGAGAGAATGGTGTCGGCATTGTGAATGATCTTCTCTCGAATTGACTTCACTCCAAGATGCTTGGAGGAGTCGCGGTCCAACTCGTTGACAACGAGTTGGAGGGCTTCGGCTTCGTTGATCCGTACCATAGTGCCCTTGGCAGCAAACAAGCCCAGCTTGTTGAGCCGTCTCTGAACGGTTTTCACACTGAACGGAAAATGTCAGAGGTAATGCAAAACCAGACAGACACATACCACATGGTGACGTCGACTTCTTTCTCAAGAAGCTTTGCAATGGTCCGGTTGCACGTAATCCCCTGCCGATGATAATCCTTGAGCGCTTGGGCAATCACAGCTTCCTGTTCATCACCTGTAGACTGTGAGAAAAGAAGGCTGAAAGACAGGACGCAAACATACTCTTCCAGTGTTGGTTGTTTCCACTGGGATTTCGATTGTGAGCACTGTCTGTGTTGCCCTTCTTGCCACGTTTATGTTGTTTCGCCATGATCACTGTCATGTCGAGACTCGAGAGGGCTGTCCATTAGTCACATGTGTGCCAAGTCATGTGAACAGCATCAGAAATGATCTGACCGGTGATAGGCTGGCTACCAGAGGTGCTCTGCACCAGCTTTATAAGGGCGTATTTTTGCGCTTTTACAGAGTTTACTCTCGAACCACTCGGTGTATCGTGTCGCAGTTGACAGTGTTGCGCTCAGTAGGACTTAAGGGTCTATTGCCCAGTCGACGACTGTGGATAGTGTCGACGATAGCAAGGCAGTCAGACCACTACTGTGGAATTGGTCTTATGGGTCTACACCAGGCTCAGGGCTATTAGTGATGGACACTCGGACCGCAACAATTCCCCAAAAGGGATACTTTGTTGCGGTGACTCCTCAAAAGGGTCATTCTCTGCAGATGGGAACTTGGGCTGAAGGGCTTAGCCATGCACAACGTTCTCAATATTACAACTATTACTGGACAGGACTTGGTGTTACAAGATTGAACCAATCTTGTCGCGGCAACTCCCGGTTTTGGGTTAAACGTTTCCCCAGATCATGCCACGCTTTCCCCCGGACTGTGAATCATACCCATATCAGATTGTTTTGTACAATTTGTGTGCCGCGTGACTCCACCTTAAGCAGTTCTGTTACCCCTGCCCAGTTGCGACGAGTTGCTCCCTGAGCACTTGTAGCTACTGTGATTTGAGTTTGAGCTTTGAGATATCAGAATGTCGGATTTGCCACTTCTGTTTTCGTCGCGGCATTTAGTGTCGTCGCCTTTGGGCTTTGTTGAGATCGTTTCCACACCTCTAGTTTGGCAGTGCGTCGACTAGTTGTGCTCGGGTTGTTTTGGTCAGTTGGCAGTGCGTTGACTTGAGAACTTTGGTTCCACACCTCTTGCTTGGCAGTGCGTCGACAAGTTGTGCTTGGGTTTTGGACATTGGATATTGGCTGTTAGTCGGCAGTGCGTCGACGCAGCATTTTGGTTTAATAGTTGGCAGTGCGTCGACTCAGTATATTGGTTGTATCGGTTGGCAGTGCGTCGACTCGATATCTGGGCTTTTGAGTCACCATCTGGATGCTGTCGCTACAAGGGATCTTAATACTTTGTATTAAGCTCTGACTTGTGATATTGTTGGTTGTGGTTGGATTAGTGTTGATTTTGGTCGCATAGAAGATATTGGTTGAGACACCACTGTTTGCTATATATAAATTCTTGTTGTCGACTTTGTCTCCCGTGATTATTGGATCTGCGTCTATTGAGAGTTGTGATACTGGTGCTCTGTCCACCACCAAAGCCCTCGCATCTTTCACACACTGAGAAGCTGATTACAAGGAGTGTGAACGTGTTCATATTTGGGTTTACTTCACAGTAGATTCACTTGTGAGCGCGCCCTCAGCATTTCACTGTGATCCGTGATAAGATAACCCGTGCCCAGATAAGATAAGATCGTCGAAGATAAGATGAAAAAGTGGCTGAACTATGACAACCCCCCCTGCTGACCCCCGCATATGCCCCTGCCCCAAATGGACCAAAATCCCCCCGCGGGAGTGCAACCGGGTGATGGCGGTAGTAACTGAGGTGCTTTGGATTGTTGCACAGGTAAGAGGCTGGGGGATCCTGTGTTGTTGGCAGGTTCACATATTGGTTGTAGAATTCGCCAGAAGAGAAAACCACTGCATATTTTCAAAAGATCCTAGTGGAGAGTATGAGGTGAATGATTTGGGAGCACGTTCAAGGTTGTCTGCACACTCACTTTGTAATAGTCTTGTTTGATCGCTGAAATCGTTCACCAACATGGCGGCATGCAAGGCCAGTGCGGCAGATATAGAGAAAAATAGCCAGTTGCTCTTTAAGGGACACATACTTTGAATCGGAGTACCCGAAGCCACGCAACTCCACCAGCAGCATCACAAATACATGTAGATGAACTCCAAGCTCATTGTGAATCCTCTCAGGGTGTCCTCTGAGAAGTTCTTCCACCCATTGTTGGCCACTCAGTGCCAATGTGTGGTAGGGTTGAGACCAGTACCACTGACTTGCATAGAGGACTGTTACAAGTGTCACCAGGCGTGTGACACTCGAAGCACTGTCCATCCATTGCTGGAGCTGGTGTAGGATAATACTCTGCACCAGGGGAGGCACGGTCAAGGTCAGAAAGAGTGATAATTGGTGCAGGATTGCGTTATCTATGGACAAGATCTAGTGATCAATCCTAATCTATTTTCATCAATCACAGATAACCATTGACAGTTCTGAAACCGTTTCTGAAACAGAAGGCTTCAGAATGATCCGAACGCACTCTTATGTATCCATGCGGCGCTCGTGACTTGTGTCACGTGCAAAAGGCACCTCTCCTTTCTATTCGAGCAAGTGCGGTCAATCGAGTATTCGCAAAAGAAAATTTTCCTGGATTATTCTCATCGAGAACCTGAAAATGTGCTTCGATGCAAGCCTAGGTTCTAAGCGATTAAGTACAATCAAACTCGAAATCAAACAATCACGTGTTTGCTCGTTGCCCCCGACTTTTCAATTCGACTGCTGCGTTCACCTGCTGTGCCTGCCTTGATTTATACACCTCAGTTACCACCGCCATCACCCGGTTGCACCCCCGCGGGGGTCCTACTGGGTACCCTCAGACGTAGCTCTGAGGGGTCCTACTGGGTACCCTCAGACGTAGCTCTGAGGGTACCCAACAGGTACCCCCCTGCGGGGCCCGCGGGGGGTTTTGGTCCATTTGGGGCAGGGGCATATGTGGGGATCAGCAGGGGGGGGGGTCTGTACATATCATGTGATTTATCATTGGGAGCGGGCAGGTGGGCGCAAAAAAAAAAATGAATCACATGACACATCCAATGGGCGGGATGGCGGCCGATGGCGGGGTAAAAAAATCACGTGATGCACCGCATGAAAATTATCAAAGATGGCTAGCAGCGGTTGGCGGGGGTTGGCGGGGGGCGCTACTGTCCCCCCGCACACCATGGCAGGCAGTGGGCGCATTATCACGTGACTTTTGGGGGGCACCTTTTGTGCACCATTCGGCATGATTTCGAAGGTGTTGCTTGATCCATTGCATGCTGTGGCAGACAATGGGCGCATAATCACGTGATTTTCCGCCCAAAAAAATGGAAGCCTTCCCAAATCATCCTGGTATCATTTCTATAGGTAAATACACTAGTTAAGCATGAATTTGAGCTTAGAAAGCCCAAAATGCACCCTGCACAATGGGACTGGTGATGCACTTGATCCCATCATTTGGTGGGGTCTGCTGCGGGGGGTGCCACGGGGGATGCTGCGGGGGGTGCCGCAGGGGGTGCCACAGGGGGTGCCACAGGGGGTGCCATGGGGCCCGCTGTGGGGTCAACCACAGGAGCAGGGTTAGGGGTGCATTGAATCATATTTTGATCTATCTATTCTCGCTGTGGTCATAGCATGCAGCATAATTATCCTTCATTTTGCCAGGAGTTTGGAGGCTGTGTCTGGGGGTGGTCTGCACCTACAGCCGTGTGACTCCCTGATGCTTCGGCAGGGGCTGGGATATCAAAACTGTGCAATATTACCTAAATCTTTTGGCTTGGCTTGGGGCACTGATATTTATGACTTGGTTCATTTTGGCATGGTCCGCTCAAGCTGTCAGGTCAATCTAAAAATTTGAAAAATGCGCAACTTGATTTGTTAGGCAAATCTCCAAAGTACATGCTCCAGGGACAGCCAACATCATCAACGAGAAATGGCTAATGTTTCTTTTCTCTGTCTGTTTGCTTCAGGTAGTCTGTCTGCGCTCAAATTTCTCTCTCCATTTGCAGCATATTCCGTGGTGGTGTCATAATTGTTGATTTCCGGATTTCATACTTCTTGTCTACACCCCATTTGGGCCCTTTACTGAATCCAATAATACTGTAGACTCTTACAATGGATTGAGCAGGACATTTGTCAATTAAATCCTTGTAGGGGTTGGGGGGGGGTCAACCGCAGGGGGTGCCGCGGGGGGTGCCGTGGGGGTGCACAAGCATATGCCAGCCTACCAAATGTGGATCAACTACAAAATCACTTTCCAAAGCTTCTGTACTGCAACCCAAGTGACTTCTAGGTAACCTTTACCCAATCCCAGTGAAACAACTTCACTGCTCTTGTTTCTGGGTGACAATTGATTTTATGGGCTTGAGTGTGTATGCGCCCTTTTGAGTGGGAAATGAGGCCATGTGATGAGAGGTAGGGCACCGAAACATTGTAAAATACTATATTCAACATGACCGGTGGCCCATGTCTCTTCAAACCAGCCCATATCTCATGTTTATCAAGACCCTATTTTTCGGACTCATTTCAAGTTTTTGAATGGTTCCAGGGTCCAGGGCTCTCAGAATTTGTTTCAGACACTGCCAAAGAGTATATCATTCAGCTGTATTGAATTGCTTGTGTGTAGAAAAAATATTTTTTGCCATACCCAAAGTGAACCATGTTGAACCATTGTCTACATAGGAACCTTGAGCAATGGTGAACTGTTTTCATGTTTCGAATTTTAGGTGGACAAAGGATATGAAGTATCTACATATTCAACAAGAATAGCATATGGAGACCTTATTCCAATGGTTTTCAGCTGCATAACTGTAGGAACAGTGTTAGAAGAGTAGTAAACACTTAGGTACAACGTTTATACAGGTTCTGATTGGCTGGTGACTTGACGTGTTCCGAGCTGTCAGTTTACATAATCTTACATATAAGAAAATCACAGGGACAAGGCACCAGTGCGGCGGGGGTGCTAGACTGGCGGGGGTGCCAGCGGGGGTGCCGGCGGGGGTGCCGACAGGGGTGCTGGCGGGGGTGCCAATGGGGGGTATCAGCAGGGGTGCAGGCAGTGGGTCATGGCAAGGATGTGTGCAGCCCCAGAGGTAGTAAAAGTAACCATCTATGTCTCTACAGTCTATCTTGCACATATACAAGCTCTGAGTGCACAGAGTGTTGTATATGAAATTTGGAATTCAAATATTACCAATCTCTGACTATTGTGAGACAACTTGCTGGTGAATCCATTGTCTCATATTCCACCTAGGAATCAATTCAGGGCATGTCAAATCCACTCTATTACATCTGTTCATGTTGCAACTAAAGCAAACTGCTTGTAAAGTAACACAGAACAGATGAACTTCAATGAGTCCCAGACAGGAAGTGTGACATTAGGTGCATAATTAATGTGTGGTATTATCCACAAGGTAAGATTAGACTGTGCCTACAGCATGATCAGTTTACCAATGGGCATGTGTATAAAATGAGCAGACAAAATAATCATTGAGTTGACAGTGGACCCAATGCAGCCCATGATGTCAGCCCACCTACCCTGCCAGCCAAAAAATGAACAAATCACACTTTCTTTTTAATTCTACATGCCTGGATTACGCAGCCAATATTGCACAGTTTTGATATCCCAGCCCCTGCCGAAGCATCAGGGAGTCACACGGCTGTAGGTGCAGACCACCCCCAGACACAGCCTCCAAACTCCTGGCAAAATGAAGGATAATTATGCTGCATGCTATGACCACAGCGAGAATAGATAGATCAAAATATGATTCAATGCACCCCTAACCCTGCTCCTGTGGTTGACCCCACAGCGGGCCCCATGGCACCCCCTGTGGCACCCCCTGTGGCACCCCCTGCGGCACCCCCCGCAGCATCCCCCGTGGCACCCCCCGCAGCAGACCCCACCAAATGATGGGATCAAGTGCATCACCAGTCCCATTGTGCAGGGTGCATTTTGGGCTTTCTAAGCTCAAATTCATGCTTAACTAGTGTATTTACCTATAGAAATGATACCAGGATGATTTGGGAAGGCTTCCATTTTTTTGGGCGGAAAATCACGTGATTATGCGCCCATTGTCTGCCACAGCATGCAATGGATCAAGCAACACCTTCGAAATCATGCCGAATGGTGCACAAAAGGTGCCCCCCAAAAGTCACGTGATAATGCGCCCACTGCCTGCCATGGTGTGCGGGGGGACAGTAGCGCCCCCCGCCAACCCCCGCCAACCGCTGCTAGCCATCTTTGATAATTTTCATGCGGTGCATCACGTGATTTTTTTACCCCGCCATCGGCCGCCATCCCGCCCATTGGATGTGTCATGTGATTCATTTTTTTTTTTGCGCCCACCTGCCCGCTCCCAATGATAAATCACATGATATGTACAGACCCCCCCCCCTGCTGATCCCCACATATGCCCCTGCCCCAAATGGACCAAAACCCCCCCGCGGGCCCCGCAGGGGGGTACCCAGTAGGACCCCCGCGGGGGTGCAACCGGGTGATGGCGGTGGTAACTGAGGTGGATTTATACGGTGAGGAGAGTGTAAATGCTGCTGCATAGACTTCTCCATCATACGATCACAGAAGGGGGGCCGATGCTCACATGACGATCGGCGGCCCTGTCGGTCCGCCGCACCTGCACCTGACGTGATTGGCGAATACAGAGGTTTCCCGCGGACTGGAGGGGAGTATAAGTATGTCAGACTGCTCGACCGTGCGCGACACGACTCGACGTCATCATGAAACTCCCCATCCACAACAGACTGTCGTTCTCCGCGTTGTTCTCTGCGGCTTTGTTGCTCCTTGCGGAGGCGCGCAAGGTCCCGACATGCTCCGTCTCGCCGTTGGGAGTCGGGAAGGACGATACGGACCAGGTGCGTGGGCCCGTTACTGCGATTTCCCGGGGTTTCGTGCGACGCAAGCCTGCGTAGGTTCTTGCGGCGATCGAGAAGTGCGGGCAGGGCGGACATGTGACGCTCGAAGAAGGCTCCTTCAACATCACACGGTGGGGTCACCCGCAGCCTGCGCATCACTGATGACCGCACGCTGAGCCGTTCTCGCAGGAAGATGACATGGAACCTGGCCGGCTCGACGGTCGATTTGTACGGCTCTCTCAGTGTGAGTTGCGGTCATGTCGTTTGCTGGGGGCGGATCCTTAGGATATGCATGTCCAGTTCGTTCCGGATATCGACTACTGGCTCAACGCGAACAACACCTACCGCGTCGTCTTCATCCAGAGTCAGGCGTCGTGGTTCGTAGTCACCGGGCACGACTTTGTCATCGACGCGCACAACGTCGGTGGGATCCACGGGAACGGGCAGGTGAGTATCTTTTTTTCGTGGTGGAATTGTTTCCAATCTATTCCATGCAACAAGCCCTGGTGGAACCACTTCACCAGCGTTCCGCGGCTCGATGGCGACGGGCGGCCCATTTCCTTTACAGTCTACCAAGCCCAGCACGCCAAGATCCGCAACTTCCGCATCGAGTCGCCGCCGTTCTGGTGCAACACGGTCGCCGAGTCCAAGGATGTGATTTACGACGGGATGCTGTGCAATGCCACAAACACGAACGCGACGTTTTTCGGGACCAAGTGCGTCGCTTTGAGTGTCGTGCGGAATGTTCTGCGGCGCTGACTGATTCTTTTGAAGCATCGTCCCCAACACGGACGGTAAGATGCAGAATCAATGGAGATTTTCCCCTGACTGATTGAGGCAGGAATCGACACCTACCGGAGCGACAACGTCTCGCTGTTGAATTGGGATGTCACGTGTGGAGATGACTGCCTCGCGGTCAAAGGCGTGAGTTGCAGTCTGTGCCATCCGTGCCGGCCCTCACGCGACTGATCCAAGACCAGAACACGACCAATCTCACTGTCAAGAACGTTGTCTGCCGGGGCGGAAACGGGGTCGCGTTCGGGTCGTTGGCTCAGTATGTGAACCTTGTGAGTGTGGCTTTGCGGTCTGTCTAAACGATGGGGATCGGCTGAGATTTTACAGACGGATATCGTTGACACTGTTCATATGGAAAACATCACCGTACGTCTTGATGTTTACCGCTTTGACCTCCTCGATAACCACTCGCAGATGACCCGAATCAACACCACCATCCAACCGAACATGAAGAACGGGGTGAGCGCCCATTCACACCTCCTTGAACCGTCCAGCTGACCACGAGCAGATCTACTTCAAATCGTGGGACGGGACGGTCAACGGTGCACCTCCAACAGGTGGAGGTGGAGCCCCCGGTGTGTTGATGAACAAGCGAACTTCCCCGGATAAAGCTCTGATCTTATTCGCCAGGCTACGCCACGAACATAGTCACCCGGGATATCGTCCTCGATCGCGTCGACCGACCCATGACCATCTCCCAGACCAACGGCGGTCACAGGTGCGTCGTCGTAACTCCGCGCCGCCGCCGCCAAACTGCCGCTGATATATGCCCATCCAGCGGAGACCGACCGTCTATTTTTAAATTCGGGAACATCTCGTTCGAGAACTGGTCCGGCACTGCGCTGTCGAGCACAGGTGAGCCGAGGATCTGGTAAGGAGCTTTTTTTTGGGCTGACGGACGTACACAGTCGTTGCGCTGGAGTGTAGCTCCGCCGTGAATTGCACGAACATCCACTTCTCAGCGTTCAATGTGTCTCTGCCAGCGGGTGTCACCCCGAAAAACATCTGCCAGAATGCCGTGAACGTGACGGGGTTGAATGGTGCGTGGTGTTAATTGTTCTCCGTTTCGCTGATCGCTGATTGGGAATCCGTTATCTAGTATGTCCGTGAACTTGACAACGCTTCCTTTGTCACGGGCACCATGAGTAGCAGAGGCGAACCGGAGAGATAGGACGAGGAAAAATATTGATACTTCTTTGTGCAGAATCAATGAATCCCTGGATTTATACGCAATGTGAATACAGAATGAATTACAAAATTTGTGTGAAGTCTCCTCACATCTTCGAAAAACTCGTTCAACCGCTGTCTAATTCAAGTTAAGCCTTGCGTGGGAAACCTGCCATCCGGCGATCTGGCCGGGGATCATCGTCTGCTAAAATGAAAATTCTCGCTAAATCCTTGGCGAAAAGCGTGACTCGAATCCAGGCCTATCTCCTGGGTACTTATGTACACAAACTCCAAGCGGGGTCACAAGGTCATTATGTCCAGGCTCGCCGCTCATGACCCCCCCTTCCTCCCGACCCTCTTCGGCACTTCCGCACACGAAACGCACGGCAGCAGTTGCCAGAATCACAGGCCAGCGATCTGTCGTTTGCTGGCCTTATACTAGCTCCGAGTCGGAGTTGGAAGTCGTCTGCATCGCCCGCCTGACCCAGTTTCTCCGATGAAGCCACCCACTATTCGCAACCCGGCGGCACCGTGTGTCATTCGCGTGCCGATAAGCGTCTAGGCGTCTCTGTATAAAACCCACCCATCGCGTCGACCCGGAGGACTCCCCACTACTCTCGAAAGCCATGCGGCGCGTCTCCCTGCTCGTCCTGCTCGTCGGCCTCGCGGTGCGCGGGCAAGACGTCCCCGTGTACACCGACGCCGCGCTCGCCGCGCAGTGGGAGAACTGGTCCTGGGGCAGCACGATCGACTTCGCCGCGACGGACCTGCGCGCGGGCGCGGCGGGCAGCAGCATCAGCGTGAGCTCCGGCGCGTACAGCGCGCTCTCGGTCAAGTACGACGGCGGGCTGCTCGGTGGGTATGCGGGGATGAAGTTTGATATCGCGGTGCGTCTCGGCGCTTTGTGTCTTGGGAGTGGGTTTTGGCTCATTGGGAGTTGTAGGGGAGTAACCCCGATTTGACGATATCGCTGTCGTCTACTGCGGACGGGACGACGTCCCCGAGCATCCCGCTGTCGGCGCTGAGCACCGCGGTCAACGCCACGGCCTTCACCACGCTGTTGATCAACTTCAAGGATCTCCCTGGCACGGGAACGGCTTTGGTATGTGGCTGCTTCTAGTCGGTGACCGCGTTGCGGGAACTCAAGTCTCGACAGCCCAACGGAACCTGGGATCGGATTACCTTCCAGTCGGGTGGCGAGACGACCACAGCGTACCATCTCGACAACGTCGTCATCGTGCAGCAGATCGTTGTGACCCCCGAGATTCTCTCGGCCGAGCCTCTCGCCGAAAACATCATTGCGGTCACGTCGCAGGGGGCGGTCGACTTTTCCAAGATTGCCGTCCAGCTGAACGGCAAGGTGAGTCTTGTGTTGTTGCAGATGAAGTAGATATTCGGCTGACTGCTTTCGTGCAGTCGGTCCGTGTCTCGAACAGCACGAGCTACGTCCCCGTCGGCTCACCGTCGAAACTCATCACCTACCTCACTCTGGCGTCGAACTTCGCGCCGGGCGCACTGGTCATCACGAGCCCCACGCTCTCGATCAACTACACGCTGCCCGCCGCGCAGTCGATGGCCATCGACAAAACCAAGTCGACGCCCATCTCGCCCCTCATCTACGGCGTCAACTTCCCCGTCTCCGCGTCGTACATCCAGGACCTCGGCGTGACGATCAGCCGCTGGGGCGGCAACGCGGTGACCGCGTACAACCCGGCCGGGCAGTTCACCAACGCGGGAAACGACTGGTACTTCGAGAACCGGGTCGCCTCGCCGCCGGATGCGGATGCGTGGATGGGCTGGGTCGGCGGCGCGGGGAGCGGCAGTTTGTTGACCGTCCCGGCGTGAGTGATCCCCCCGTCTCTCGATTTCGCGCTCGACTAAACGCGATGCCAGGCTGGACTGGGTCGCCAAGGACGCCACGTCGTACTCGTATCCCGTCTCCGTCTACGGCAGTACGCGCGTTTCCTCCCGCCTCCACCGCTGGCGCATCACCTGATCTTTTCCCACAGACCAGAGCTCCCACGACCCGTACAACGCCAATGCCGGATCGGGTCTGTACGCGAACGGGTCCTACGTGACGCCCACGCCCAGCCAGACCAACGCCTACACGCCGTGGAGTGTCTCGCAGGCCGTGACGTGGCTGCAGGGACTCACGCACAAGCCGACGCTCATCTCGATCGACAACGAGATCGAGATTACCAGCAACACGCACCAGGACATGCACCCCAAGTGAGCGCGCACACGTGATGATGCTCTGAGCCGCGCTGACCGTCGCTCCGCAGCCCGATGGGATACGACGAGGAGCTGGCGCGGATGCTGAACTACTCCCTGGCGATCAAGACCGCGCTCCCGAACACGCAGATCGCTATGCCCTCGACCTGTGCCTGGTGGTATTGTGAGCACTTTCCCCGAGTCTCTCCCCCAGACTGACTGACTCACGCGCCAGACTGGACGAGCTCGATCGGCTACACGGACAACGCCGCGCACAACAACACGGACTTCATCCCGTGGTTCCTGCAGCAGATGGCCGCGGCGGAGAAGACGCACGGGAAGCGGCTGCTGGACTACCTCGACCTGCACTACTACTTTGCGCCCGACGTCAGCGCGAACGACGCGGCGGCGAAGGCGCTGCGGCTGCGCATGTCGCGATCGCTCTGGGTGCGCATACAGTGTCCTATGGGGCCAGCCGACTCTGGAGTCTGAAACAACTTTAGGACACGACGTACGTGGACGAGTCGTGGATCGGACAGCCCGGGCAGCAGAACCACCAGCCCGCCCCGACCATCGTGCAGCTCATCCCGCGCATGAAGGCGCTCATCAACCAGTACTACCCCGGCACGAAGCTCTCACTGTCCGAGTTCGACTCGACGCTCGACACGGACATCACCGGCGGGCTGCTCACGGTGGACATGCTCGGCATCTTCGGCCGGTCCGGGCTCGACAGCGCGACCTACTGGGCGACGCCGGACGAGAACGGCCCCGTCGGGCTGGCGTACTGGCTCTTCCGCGGGTTCGGGACGTTCTTCGGCGCCTCTACCGCGCAGGTCACGCTCTCCACGCCCAACCCGGACACCCAGGGCGTCTTCGCCGCGACGGACAAGAACGGGACGCTCTCGCTCGTCGTCGTGAACAAGAACCCGCAGGTGCCGGTGAGCTTTGCGGTGCAGAAGATGCCCGCGGGGACGTACTTTGTGCGCCACTTTGGCGGCGCGGCGGGCGTGGCCAAGTGGCAGGGCCAGGTGCACATCAAGACGGGGTCGTACATCGTCGTCCCGGCGTACACCGCCGCATTCTTCAAGCAGATGTAGTAATCCAATGTAATTTGTCGCATAGCCCCGAATCTCCTACGAAATATATCCCTAGCAACAGCATGAAGCCCCGTTATCTGAGCATTGAACCAATATGTAGATCCTGATGGCCACTTTTCAGAACCCAATGAAATCAAGATCGCACCGCCGGCCCTTGCGCGGCCCCGTCACCCGACCCATCACACAAACCGCGCCACACCGAGTCGTCGTTGCGAATGTAGCGCGCGTCGACCTGGTCGGTCGCGTACTCGAGCGCGAGGACCAAGCCCCCGCTGAGCCGCGCGCAGATCTCTGGGCGCCCGGGCAGGTACTCCGTCACGGGCTCCCCGAAGCGGCCTGAGAGGCGGGTCAGCGCTGGCCGGGAGACGACGAACGCCTCGACGTCGTCCGGGCTGGGAGACAGCGTGACGGATTTGAGGTCGATCACCTCGATCGCGGGCAGCAGGGGCGGTGACAGGGACGAGGACGAGGACGAGGACGCTTCCTCCGAGTCCCGCGGCAGCGTCAGCCAGGTGAGCAGGTCCCGCGGCCACTGGTTGCCCGGGTTGTGCTGCACCCCGGTGTGGTAGATGCCCGTCAGGCCAAAGCGGCCGGTGCGGTTGTCTTCGACGAAACTGAGCTTGCGCAGCGACGCGGGTAGCGCGTACACCACGGCACGCACGCGGTCGCGGTTCAGCGTGCCGACCCGCAGATCGAAGCCGTCGAGTCTCGTGCACCGCCCGAGGAAGTCCAGCAGCGACGCGGGGATCGCCCGCGGCGTCGGGCCCGCAAGCTGGTCTGACGGGAGCTGCACGACGAACGACTTGAGCTTCGGTGTGCGCAGAAGACTGAACAGCCTCAGCGGGTGCTCGACCTGCGGAGCAACGTGCGGGCTGATATTCGTAATGACAAGGTCGAGGAACGAGAGGTGCTCGAGCGTCACCTCTGGCATCACATCCTCTTGTGACAGAGTGTGATCGACGATGAGCATTTTGAGCGTCCGCAGTTGCGTGCAATGTGCGAGCATCTTCAGCACGGTGGAGCCGTCATACGCTCGGAGGATCGGGGGAGTCATGTCGAGCATGCTTCTACTCTGCCCGAGGATCTGTGTCGTGACCGAAAGGGTGGTCAACTGCGCCCAGCGGAAAGGCATCGACTGCAAGATCAGGCCGTCCACCGTGATCGTGAACGCGGTGACCTGCGGCCCATTCACCAGCCGCAGCTTTGGCCAGTCGTTGTACGAGAAAGTCTCAGCGGGTGGCTGCCACAGCGCGTGCTGGTGCATTTGGTGGTGATTCATAGCAGCGATTGTGAGTGCGTTGAACGGTGGTCCACCAGCGGGAGGAAATGGAAGATTGGGGGCAGGCACATGAGCCAAAGCTGCAGCCCCAACGTTGTGGGGCACCATTGGGTGGACCGCTGCGACCCCATGAAGGCCAGGGGGGAGCGCGCCAGGGACGTTCCATCCGGCATTCACCCCACCTGCACCTGTCAGCATCAGCGCCTGGTGCGAGGCCTCCGTCATCTGCGGGTTGAGGCGCACAGTCCTGAGCAGCGGCACATCCTCTTCCGTCAGCTGCAAGAGCCGGGTGAGCCCCTCCGCCGTGAGCTTGAAGTCGATCGTGCGCCATCGGTGCGCATAGCGCACGAGCTCCTCGACGAGCGTCCCAGGTGACTGGCGCGAGCTCTGGGGGACGTCGAGCGACAGATGCAGCGGGCAGTCCCCGGAGCGCCCGAGGAACTCGTGCAGCCCCAGCACGCGCTGCCGGAGCTTCGCCTCGACCTGCTGCCGCAGGATCTTCTCCTGCGCCGCGGAGTCGGGGAGCCGCCCATACGCGTCGAGCCGGCCGTGGATCACGCGGTCGCCGACGGGGTGCACGACGTGCAGCCGGGTCCACAGCCGCGGCGTCGTCAGCGCGAGGGCGCGCCACGCGCTCGAGACGCGGCCGAGCAGCAGCGGCGCGTCGCCCGCGCTCATCGCGCTGTTGCGCTTGTCTGGCAGACACGCGAGGAAGATCTCGCGCACGAGGTCGTCGGGCAGCCGGCGCATCGGCGAGCGCAGCGCCGTGTGCGCGTCGATGTAGGCGGACAGGCCCTCCTGCTCCGCCTCGAGCGCGGCGAGCGACAGCCGGAGCTCGGCCGCTTTCGATGTGAGCGCCGCGAGATCGGCTCTGGGGCCTGCGAGGAAGGCTGAGAGGGTGGTGAGCTCGTCGTCGGTGGGGACGTAGTTCGTGCCCAGCTGGCTCCCGAACGGCGAGGGTTGCGTCATTGTCGTCGTTCAGAGAGAAGAGACGGGTGGTAATCGATTCGATCACATGCCAGTTCCATACCGCGTAGCGACGGGTTGGTCCAGGAAAGAGAGGTGGCGTGGGGCCAGCGCCAATCAACGCGACGACCTCGTGCCTCGGCAATGAGACGGATCACGATCACGTGAGCTCCTCCTTCGCTTCTTTGCACCTGGATTCCATCCAGCCGATCTCAACTGAATTCTGCCTGTTAATGTGAGCCCTCATTCTAGGCTACCGGAATAAGTCATGTGCAGATGCAGAAGCTCCCATGACGTCATCGAGCTCCCGAATGCATCGACTCTGATCAACTTCTTTCAACAAGCCATTCTCGAGCAGGGTTTCTTTACTCGAATTGACCCACATGTCCATCGCCTATCCGGTGCAACACTCTACACACACCGGCGGATGCCAAATAACAGGAGCCATAAAGCTTCATTTATAGTTGAGATATTGTAGTACAAAAAAAGTCCTACAATAGTCGAATCAATAGTTAAAATATAATGCATACCTAAAGAGCCCCCGTTTAATCACCTATCAGAGCGTAAAATGTAGCTTTAGAAAAACGACATATCAGGACTCTAATTAGATTACTCATTTATGTAGCTTTTTTGCCACAGATCAAGGACACTTATTTGGAGCAGAAAAGGAGCAATATGAGGAAGGACACTTTTGACCGCAATATGACCTAAAAAGATCTCGCTAATGGTGACAATCATATCTGTGATATAAGTGCGGCTTTTTGGGCCGCACTTATATCACAGATATCACGGTCGCAAATATGTATCGCTGGATGATCTGCCGCTCGTCCGCCGCTCATCCATTCCAAGATAACACTTTGTCAAGAATAGCTAACTTACAGACATGTTTAGAATTACACAACGATCATCAGAGAAATGGAATCGGGCACAGTGAGATACTACATCATCTATCGGTACAGTGTCAACAACATTGGACATGGAGGATGAGTATGTACGGGCTGGAAAGAACGGTCTGTATCGAGAGAACGGATCCCGCATCCCCTGGGCTAGCGGAGCCTGCCGTCTGATGTGAAATACAACATCTGCTCCGTGCTCAACGATCTTCTCAATACTTCCGGCAATCATCTCGCGCGAATGGGGAGGGTAATACATGACAAGACTGTTACCCAAGTGCGTGCTGGCTCGAGAGAAGTTGGTACCACTTCGTTTGTAGTGTGCGCGTTCTCCAGCCTTGGCAAGTGGTGGCGAATCAGCGGGTAGATTGTAAGATGGAAAGGTTTTATCAAACAGAACTTTCAGCTCAATGAAAACGGGGGGGCAGTCGGGTCGTCGCAACCATCGCCGAATGCTTGCTCCACGCATAAAGGATTTGGACAGAGTGGCTTCAAGTTCTCCGCCGATATGATCGTTGGTATTGATCTTCTGGAGGAATCCAATTACGCGTTCGAAAGGGAATGTCCACCAGGAGATAATGGGACCAAAGAGTATGAGAAAGTCGTAGATGTGAAAAGCCATGTGGACGTTTGGCCGCATGGCATGAGACTGAGTATGGGGATGATTGGTTGGGAGACCATCTACCCATTGCTTCAGAAGAGAACGATATTTGGAAGCCCGCAAAGGGGTCATTGTGTATCGACTGACTAAAATGACCGCCGAGAACAGCGCCATTGTATGATCCAGCATCTGGAGCATGCGTGTTGATTGCTCTGAGGGATCATGGTCGCCCCAGAGGATGACAAGAGCAATGGGGAGATATATCGTTGCCAATATGCGCCATTCAGCTGCCTTGATTGTCCCCGCATGACTATCACCATAATTCGAAGGCACTGAATCCACCCAAGCCGGAGTAGTAGTCTGCTTGATGACGCGTTGGATGAAATGAATATTGGCAAGGTTGATCGACCGGGGGATGAATGTATCGCTTGTGAGCGGCTTTGTGCGGCGCTAAAAAGACGTGAATACCGGCTCATGGAACAAACAGAGAGATACACACCCAAGAGAGTAGTTGATCACAGCAGGCCTTCTTCGATATGATACAACTTGGGTCCGTATTGAGCCCAAGCGAGAACACGACCCAGCGAAGTGGCTGGAGATTGGTCCTCATGAGCTGCTGGCGCAACTCATCAATGCTGATCGCCGGCACAAAACGAGGATCGGAAGCGTCGACCATTTCGATGTTGTCATCGACAGGCTCTACATCCTCGTCTACTTCATCTTCATTGGCAAGCAAGGGTTGTACGAGCTTTTGTTGTATGGCGCGGATCATGGGCAATTCTCTCACTTCGGTCCGCAATAAGCAAGCCGGATGGCATGTCGCAGCGTCATACTCCAGCCAAGCATGCTCGAAAGCCGCGCCCATTGTCTCCTTGCGCTTGGCCAACTTGGTATCAATTCGCAGCACTCGACGGCAGTGATAATGTACAAGTCCTTCAAAGATGCAATGCATTGAATCTACGACAGCCATGCGGGTGGGGTCCCAGTACGGTAAACGCCAAAACTCAGACCAACGAACACCATACTGAGAGAAGATGGCGTCTCTAACCGCCTGACTTGGCGCATCTCGCCATGCAAAGGCCTGAGCACGCAGGACTGTGATATCACGTCGATTCCAAGCATGATATTCTGTATTGTACATGGTATGAACACCATAGCAATCACAGATTGAGCAATAGTGATTTGAAGTGGGGGCGGCCATGCCTTGCATCTTTCGCGTCGCAGGTAAGTCGTTGACGTCAATAACGAGTGCGAGGTTCAAATCGCGGCCAGATGGGTGCAGAGCAGTGCGAGATAGTCGGAATCCTTGCTCCCAACCGACAACAAACACGTCCATGAGTGGGCGGATATAGTTGTCGATTTGATCATGATTGGGCTCATTGGGACCGAGTATAATACTGAGCCACATGTTTTCTGGACGATAACGGATGTTCTCGTCCAGGTTCAGGTTGACAATGGCAAGGATCCCGATTGAATTGTGATTTCCCCGCTTCCTTGTCCCGTTGGGATTGAAGAAGTCAAGCATGACTTGGAAGGCGAGCCTCAAGCAACCTTCTCTTTCGATGAACAGTTTGCTGGGAACGGGGCCTTCGAAGCTGCGCATAAACGCCGCCTCAAAGACGGCATTGACACGTTCTTCTGTCACAGACGCCTCGGGGTTCTTTGAAAGGGCTGCGCGCACTGCTGCCAGAGCATCATCACAAGCCTTCTCGCACATCCTTTCTATCCCGGTGTCGGAGAGCGTAGCAGCGATATAATCGATCACAGAAGTGAAGACATACGGCCGGATGGGTCTGAGCTTTCCTTGGCGACGTTCAAGAATCTGGGTCCTGCAGGCATGGCGCGCTCCTTGTCGAGGATATACGTAGCCTTGACAGATCTCAGGGTACGAGGCCACTCCGTTGACTCGGTCCTCCAGTGGCGCGTGTGTGTAATGGCAGGACGGGCAAGTCGCGTAGATGGTGGTTGTAGGATCAATCTTGAACCTGCGAAGCGCAGAATCCAAGGATGTAGGGAGTTGTTTGAGTACATACTCCTGTACAGGTTTTGCTCGCCCATCGCGCGCACAGAGTGCCATCGATGCTTGTATGATCGCATTGACGAATGCGAGGATGAGGTTTACGGGGTTGCTGCTGATGCCAATGATAACATGGCAGATGAGGGCGAGAAGGATGGAAAGTTGAGTAATGACATCGTATTTTGCAATGGGATTTTCAAAATGATGATCTGGGGAAGAATGTATGTGAGCGAATTGTAGGATACACCGAGATAAAACACATACCAGAATTGTGCTCGACCACATGCGTCGGTGGAGGAAGAAGCGGGCCTATGATATCAATGAGCGAGTTGAGGGTCGTAGCCTCTGCTTGTAGACTCTCGGACAAAGTAGCGATCTTTTCATCTGCTCTGGTTCTGACCCTCGGCCGTTTCGGTGGGCGTGTTTTGTCCGAGGGCTTGAGACTTGAGAGAAGACGGCCAGCCTCAATAACGAGGAGACCCGCAGAATGGACAGTGTTGACCAGCACGTCAACAGTGGCGGGACTTGCATCGAAAGCGCGTTGCAGGTCTAGTTCGGCATGCGCCGCACGAATGCGTTTCAGCATCTCTTGTAGGAGAGTTATATTTTCCTCTTGGGATTTCATTGTCGCCGGCCGTAGCGGAAGAGTCGGGGCCTGAAGCACAGCTTCAACGCCGCCGAGAACTTGTTTAAGGGAGATGGGCATGAATTCTATTGGTACTTCGGATATACTAGATTGAAAGTCGTCCCGAGAGCTAAAGAGCTTGGATTGCATTTCACGATGGGACTCTTCGCCCTCATCCAGAATGACCAAACCAGTGAGGAGACTGGCAAGCCTCTCCATTTCTAGCGTAGAAGCATCTGCTGTCGCCTCCGCAGATAGGGCTTCTTCGTCAGAGACATGGATCGACACGTCGTCTTCGTGGATTGGTGCAATAGGACCGGCAGTCTCGATCCTCGATGTGACCACGCGCCCAGTCTGAGTTCCGGAGGGATTCTGAGACTTGGAGATTTCTAATTGGTGAGATATTCGTTGTAGCTTTGGGACTCTGTGATTGCAGAAGTTCGCTAGCGGGCAACGCTCGCAGGTGTAGTGCGATGAAGCTGGCATTCGACGACGGCAAACGTCTGACGAATACACTCTGCCAACGGCAAACGTCTGGCAGAGCAACGGCTTCGAGCACAATTTGTGTCGACGGCAAACGTCGGACACTGTGCTAGACGGTGGTGGGACTTGAGTTGGAGTTGGTGGCAGAAGTGATGAGATCAAGTCTCACACGATCACATGATTGGTGATTGCCGATGACAGATGATCTCTGCGTCTTGTCCTTTAACCACCATCGCAGACGTTTGCCGTCGCGATGGAGCGAGGACACACTTCATCCCAGACGTTTGCCGTCGAGATGAACACACTTTATGTCTCTCAAAGAACATATTTGTCGCTATCTACCCACTACTCTAAAAGAGACTTCGGCCAAGCGATGGTACCCACAATCTTCTCGTATCCGAATGCTACTGCTGCCATTATGATCATGAGCCACCCCAACCACTTCAATGAACTTCCCAGTCTTGCCATGAAGTTGGGAGTTATCAGCGTTTT